GGTTCTCATTCAAAGACAAGGGCCTCACTGACAAGGGCCTTCTAAATATGGAGGTTTGGAAAGCTTTGAGAAGTGTATTTCAGTACACCTTTTGGTGGTAGTATTAGTGTCTGCTTTATGGAGCAGAAATCAGCAACTCAGAGGAGATCCAAATGCTTGAACTTCAGCTGCGCTGAAACAACATCAGTTTAAACACACCCCACACCCCCCTTACCCCTGTAAGGGGCTAAAGCTTTCCTTTTCCTCTAGCTGACAGTTTCAGTATTGAAAGCCACCTGAGAAAGTGCATGTAAATAAGAAGCAGTGCAAAAAAAAAAAAATCTGATACAATGCAAAATACTGATTTTAAAGCTTCAGCTGAGCCAGTGTTAGGGAGTTACAGACAAGCATCAGAAAAGCTTGATGAAGCAAGACTGACCTGCAGCCCACTCGCACCACTGCAAAATTCAGCAGAACAAAGTAGAAGCCACGTTTCAAGACAGCTTTTGAGGTGTTTTATCAGTTTAAAATGTTGAACTAATTTGTGAAGCTGAGGTCTGGTAGCAAACAGCAGAGGTAATAACAAGATCTTAAGTTGCCTCAGCTGTTTGCTCAACTCCCATGACTTTTCATGTGACTAAAGACAGAAACTATATTGTAGATGGATCAGTCTGTTTTTCCACCACATTTTATCTGAATAAACTTGCTTCCAAAGAGGGCTTAGCTAACTGAAGAACAATGGGTGGAGGGGAAAGCACGGCCACCAGAATATTATTTATGCTACAGCTTCTGGAGTTGTAAACACCAGATAATCTGACTGTGTGCATGGTGGTTTGGGGGAAGACTAGAGCTACAGTCTACAGATACAGGGTGATGTTTCTGAAATACATAGACTAGTGCTGTGCTCAGCAATCCATACTGAGTGATAGGGTGGAAATGCTTTGAGCTCCAAGATTTAATTAACTGATCATCCGGCTTAGTGGTAGAACTGCCTTGCTCAAGTCTGGAGTTCAGCACTGCACCTCAGTAATTGAATCAAGCCTGTAGCATTTGCCTTTTGCGTGGGTACTTGTTCAGTTTGTTTCAGTCAACTGCAAACGTGATCTGAATCTTTGTTTCTGGTTTAGTTTGGGCGATGGGTGTAATTTTCCAACTCGTTTGGTGATTATGGATCCAGAGCAACTTACTGTCTCAAGCCAAAATGAACCTGCCAAAAGGTAACTATAGCATTTAAGATACTGATTTTGTACTGTTCTGTACTTCATCTAGAGAAAAAATTGTTTCAAGATTATTTTTATATTTTTTATACTTCTTATCTTCAGAATGAGTTTGTAAACCTTCAGAGAAGGACAGAAGGGATCAAAACTTTAAAAAAAAAATGGTGCTGTTTGATGCAGAAAGTCTGTTTACGGCTCTCAGGAAATTAATTCAGAAAGTAAGAGCGCTTACTGCCTCTTAACAAGAATCAAAGAAGTCCTGGGGAAGACTGAATAATGGTCCATGGGGAAAAAAAAAAAAAAATGTTTAAGATATATTTTTGGAGTGAGAGAAAGGCAAGGTATTACTTGTATTTCACCTCCTCCAGCATGCTTAAACAAGGGATGCTGAGACACCCCTTGTCTCAGCAAGAAACAAGGTAGATCACTGTAGCTTGCTGGCTTTTAGCTCTGGAGGAGTTTTAGCTCATTATTTTTTTTATCCCTCCAAATTTGCATGTTTTGTATCTTCAGTGTATTTTCAGGAAGCTTGCTTTAGATTTATAGACACAGGAGTATTTTGAAACTTCTGGGGGTGTTTACATTTGCCATTTTAGAAGTATTCTGTATACTTTGGTGAATTTGTAGCTGAAGGTGGCTGTCAACAGCGGTCACCTAAGTTACCAGGCATTAAGAGTGTTCAAAGGCAATCCCGAGAAGTTGTTGCTTCCAGTACAACATAACCTGTGGAATTCACACAAGAGCAGGACCCTTGTGCCAACAGCGGAGTATCCTTTTGCATTAGGAAGATGTTCAGCAGAAGGCCCTAGCGTTTACTGATGGGATAAGATGGTATTAGTTTGTTCTTCCAGACAGTACTGGTTAGGTTTTCCTTTTAACTGCGTGGCAGTGGTGGTGGTGTCAGTGTGACATTTCTTGTCTATCAATTTGTGGGGTTTTTCCATTAGAACTGTGAGTGGGCTGTCAGGGACTGGAACAAGCCTGTAGGAGAATTGGGGTTGGGGGCCCAGAGCCATTTGTAGTTGGCAGTGTGTGGGGTTTTTTTCCTTTGCTTTACTCTTAAGTAACTTCACTCGTCTACAAATGTCTGAAATAAGCAGCTACTACTACTACAGAATTCCTGTTGGCTTTGCTTATTTTTCAGCTCTGGAGCCAATCAGTCCTTTCCGACTCGACCACTCAGTGAATCGCAAAATCGATTGCTAGCCAGTGACAGTCAGTGGGTGGAGAGTGGCCCTGAAGAGGAAAATGTTAAATCAGGTAACCTGCTCCACAACACTTCTGATGATTCTGTGGTTTTGTTTGTGGTGGGTTTTTTCCACTTTTTTAGGCCTAAAAAGTCCGTAGGAATTGGTAGGAGTCAAGTAGAAGAAAATTTGTTCCATAGAATCAAGTCAGCGGGTTTAGAAGTTAAGGCTATCTTGTGTCTCACACTCTGCTCCAAAACGACTTATTACACTAAGGTAATGCATAGGTAATTCTCACTTTTGCACTTCCTTTTCTGAGATTTTGGATCTTTCTGTGTTTGATTCGGGGGAGGAAAATATTTTTCTAAAATAAGCACAACAAAATAAATGTGCTTTCTGGTTTGAAGTCTTTGCTATTTGTTGTGCAAATCTGCGAAAACACATAATTGAGATTCTCTCACATTTTAGGTGCAAAAAAGCATATTATAGTTTCATTGGAAAGCTGATCTCAGCTTATTACTAACCAACCATCTCAATGAGAAACAGGTAAGACCAACATAATTGATTGCCATTTCTGTATATGTATAAGTAAACTAAAATAGACATCTTGAAGTCAAAACTCACTAGTCATGGAATGCAGAGGAGCCTCTTCTTATATTGGATGAGTAATAGAAAAGTCTAAATAAAACTCAGAATGGCTGCCCAGAAGACAAGGAATGGGAGTAATGCTGTAGTGCAGGGAACATGGGCTGGCTAGGTCTGAGATGAGTCAGACCAATCCTGTAATTCAGATTGAAGTGGGTAGTGCTGGATTTGTTACTTGATGGAAAAGAATCCAATCTGATAAACAGGCAATTTCAAGATGAAGTCTTGTCTTGAGGAAGTGCTGTTCTTACGGAGCAGCTCCTTAACTGTTTTTCTGTAATCCTATATTGGTGGGCCGTGCTCTGCTCTTTAAGAAGCTGCGTGCGCATGAGGAAGGAAGGTCGATAGGTAAACAGAGGAGCCTGCGTAGGGACTGCTTCCTCGCACTTGGCATTGACAGGGATCTCTTACGCAAGAGCTCTGCGCGCACTTTGCATTTAGGAAATACTGCTGCATATGTTGCAACTTCCCTGCGTGTATTTCCAGTGACTGAATTAGACTTATGTTGACTTCATCCTGTGGTGAGCTTATAAGCTCCCATTAAACTTTTGTCTCTGGAAAAGAAACAAATCTTACTTGGACAACTAGCCACCGTAGGTGCTAAGGGCTGAGTTGTTCACCCCCTCTTTCTCCCCACCCCACCCCCAAAGAAACGGGAGGCAGAACTTGCAAGGAATTCCCATTTTCTTCAGGGGAAAAACCTCTACAGTATTTGAGTTTTGTGAGCTCAGTAGTTTTAGGATCACTTTTTTTTTTTCTCTTTGTTTTAAATAAGCCTTCTAACCTAGAATCATTGCTTTGGTGGGGTTTTTGGCAGGGGGGTGGTTTGCTTTCAAGAAAAAAAAATGTCTAAAAAGTCTTCATGGGGAATGGTGTGATGCTTGGACTGATGTTGGTCAGACTGCTCAGTGTAAACTCATACAAAACCAAATGAGACTACTTAGTGGTACTTCTGAAAAATCTGCACAACCATGAGACCCCACCAATGATGAGTTTTCCCTTTGCAACTTTTCTTCAACACCTTATATAAATGTGCAAATGAACAACCCAATCAAGGGACTCCTTTCAGCCTTTAGCTATATAAAAACTAGCCTGATCTAAACTGGTTACTAAGACTTTTCTGTCCTTCATGGAAAGGAATAGATATCTTCTGAGAGCAGTTCATCCCAGCAGCCTTTGACCAGGTATTATGGAAAGGTCTTAATCTTTCTTGCCACTGACCTAGAGAGGGAGCACAAGTGACTGGCTTAAGCTAGACAATTAACTGGTAATAGTTTGGGATGAATTTCCTTTCTGTCCTCCCTCTCTTCCTAAAGTCAGGCCAAATTTAAAAAAGGAAGACTGCATACTTTGTGTCACACTTGCCCAAACTGCTGTAGTTTTAAAAGTTTTATAAATAAATAGTGCATGATTGCACCCAACGCAAAAGTATTTTGTTATGTGTTATCTCAAGTAATGGTTAACTCTGTAACATGTTTCAGCCGTTCTGAGTTCTGTTGGATTTGATCACCATTTCTGTAGGCCAAGGTGGTTAATTCCAGTCCCCCTGGAATTGTAAGTAACTCTGCAATGGCTGCGAGATCCAACGTCTGTTCCGTGCACTTTTGTGTACCCTGTAACAGACTGATAGTTGTATTTTTCAGTTTTTATGCCTATAACATGCAGCAGAAACAATCAGAGTCACGGCTGACAAGTAAAATTCCCAGATTATTTTAGAGAAAAGAGCATGATTTGCAAAGTCCAGTCCCCCAGCCTCACCAGTGCAAACACCATTTGTGTCCCCGTATCTGTCAATTTAATTCAAAATGAATGAGCAATTCTTGCCAATTGGGGATCCAAGAGACTTTAGCCACAGATCAGTGGTGATGGATTGACATTGTTAGTGCAGATAATCTTCTAAAACATAATAAGTTTAAAACAAAACCAAAACAACCCACACCTCCCAGAAGGCTCATTATGAGTTGATGTTTCCTTAACTGCTGTCCTGAACCAGGAGTCTGTAAATCACGTTACCCAGCTGCATTCATGTAGTGCACTATGATCTGTTTTTTCAAAGCTAATGGTGTAATTCCACTACCTTTTTTGTTTCACTAGGTTTCTGCAACACATTTTGTGCTTGAATATTACTTAGTTTTGTTTGGAAGAAGTTGATCAGTAAAAAATTGAACATGAACGTTTTAGGAAGAGACAAGAAATTCAAGTTTCTGCACAGTACAATGGATTCTTGTAAGCACTATTGCAGAGCAGGGAAGTTAAGACAGATGCCTTAAGATTCTTAATGTGCATTTATGCAACACTGAATTCTATACTGCTACCAAAGGGCCAAATCCTGAAGTGCCCTGCTCGGATGCGCAAGTCCAGAGTGGGAACTATGCATTTCTGTTATGCTGCAGTGGTGGGAGGAGGTTGCAGAGACTCCTGCCTCCCCACGGGCAAACTCCATACCTTAGGCACTGCAGAAGTCACTTCCAAAGCAGGTCTCCAGAGTATGGAAAGAAATAAAAAAAAGGAAGAAAAAAAAAAAAAAGGCGGGAAGGGGGGAGAAAAATCAACGTAGAGCGTGGCCAGTGAGTCTGAAGTGTGACGACATGTAGCTCAAACACCAGGTGATGGGGAAGGTACTGGATGATGTCTTCTCTGCTCTTCCTGTTAACCAGTCTACCCCATGATCATAGCTCTCCGCGTCTTTCAGGACTGAGGATTCCTTCTACTGGCTATGCTTTGGATCAAGGCAACGGCAACAACGTAAAAGCCTTTTACTTGGGTGTTGCTTTTTTGCTACAGGATTGAGCCCCCTCATCATTTTAACCTGATTTATTTAACCCTATCAAGAACAGAGCTGAAAGAAGCAAACTTGGTTTTTAGTTGAAAAAACATGGATTGTTATTTTCTAACAATTGTCTATCAGCATACAAAGAAAAGCCAATCCCAAAAGGAATTTAATGTTAAAGTCGTTACACTTTCTGTCGATGTCTGCAGTGTTCTGTATGAGGCAGTAACAAAAGGGTAAAGTGCCCCTGAGGAAAACCTTACTGCAGTTGTGTGTTGTTAGAAAATGGAACTGGAAGAGTACTGGTTTTTCTGTGGGACTCATGGTGGCTCATCAATACTGTTTTATACTTTTGTTTTATCTTTTTAATAAAGGCACAAGTTTTTATTGGTTCTAAAGTAGCATTTAAACAAATACAGAGTACTTATGAGAAAATTAGTGTTGGATCATACATCTGTGTTAACAGCCTGAAAATCTGTATGCTTTAGTCTGCCACTTTCAAGTCCAGTTTAAGTGGTGCTGAAATTGCTAAAGAATGAGTGCTTTGTGCAGTGATGTACCTGTTCACAAAAGGCAAATTGAGTTTCCTGTGTGAGGAATAAAGTCCATCCTCAGCTCAAGACCTACAGCAAATGCCATGGGTTTTTTTTCCCCTCACTCTTCTATAGAGAAGACTGCTAACTTATCTTTGGGTGGTATTGGAATTTCGCACCTGGAAAAAGTGACAACTGCTGTTTTCCTGGCTGTAACCTCTGTGACATTCAGCTGACGCTGATTACAAATAGATGTGAGCCATTTTGATACAGACTGAAGGTGGTAGCCAGGTGGATGATCTGGACCGAAAGAACCTGTTTGGTTTCTCTCCTAGACTGATTGCTACTTAAGTCAAACATGTTTATGGTGGAGATACTAAGATATCAAGTATACTGTAAGGTTTAAAACAAGTATTTTTTGTCTTTGGAAAGAATACATTTTTCTTAGATATTAATCTTCTAGAACAAGACCACTTTGAGAACCTGTGAACATGGTTTGGTAGCTGTTGGATGTTCTTAAGGGATGTTCTTAAGACAGAAGTAGTGGTCCAAACTTGCATGTTTTATACAAATTGCAGAATGTTTCTTCAAACTTTGTACAAGAAATTTTGCATTTGCTAATCTCAAAACTTACAAAAACATTTGCTACACGTTAATCTGAAAGGTTTTGGGATTTCTTCTCAAACATCAAGTGAGAAGTGCTCATCTGAATACAAGCTCTCAGCAGTAATGCACAAGCAAAATTTCTTGGGGAAGAGAACAGAAACAGAAGACTGCAGGTTCAAACTGCTCGTTCTGAATACCAAATTTGAGCCCCAAACACTGGTGGAACTGTAATGGAGGGCTGGGCTATCATCTGGCTTTTACTGCATCGGTGTCTTGCAGCTGAGATCACACATCCATGCAGCCATCGGCTAGCAGAACTATAAGCAAAATCCCTGTCTCTCGTACGGTAAGTATCACCGATTCAACAATGTGGTCTCTGCTCACCACCACCCCCCTCCCCAAAGTGCTTGATATACCCCCACATGAATGTATATGTACTGTAGGCTAACATCAGTGTAACTTGTTCGAATTCTTAAATCAGGATTGTTAATCTCCAGGAAAAACTGCAAGTAGACAGACTGGGCTAACTCTGTGTGTGTTCTCTAGCAAGTGCTGGTCTTCAGAAACCAGTTCTTTGTATGTCTGATGGACATTTTTGTGGCTTTTCATGAAGAGCTCATGTTTCTGACATCTTTATGCAGATCACGGGTGTATTTTGTCCCAGATTTTTCTCATGCTTCAGTTGAGAGTAGTGTGCTTGGGATACTCTTAGGGCCAGAGTTACTGTTGGTAAAAGCAGGCATTACTGAAAAGTCACTTTGACAAATATGAAACATAGGAAGATGATTCAAATAATTATTCTTCCAAATTCGCCACCCCCAAACCCACCCTCCCAGGGAGCTGGTTACTAAGAAAAACCCCAGACTGACAGAAGGGAATTACGCTCTGCAAGGGGACTGCACTGGTGAACTCTAGGGGTGTTGGGTTTTCCTGTCAGGCCCTGGCTGTGGAGGAGGGATCACTCTAAGGCAGCAGGACAATGTCTTCATCTTTTGGAGCTCTGTCCTGACAGCTCTCCAGCCATATGCAAGGGCAGCCTGTGGTGTGTCAAAGAGTAGGGTAGGCGAAAGGAGGGAGCAAGAGAGGAGTTCAGAAGTTGGTGAGGACAAAGAGCTGCACTACCCACAACTGCTTGCACCTCAACAAGGTGGGGGGTTGTAGGGGTGCCCCAGGAAGCAGGTCCTTCTGGCCCAGGCACTGCAGAGCTGAAAACTTCCAGTGAATGCAGCGGGAGGAGCAGCCCTGCCTGTTCAGGAGGCCAGAAGGGAGATGGACCCTGAGAAAACAACCGTTCAGGGTGCAGGGTCATGTTGGACATGCTGGTCTTGTGCTTTAGCCTACTCTGCATCAGCAAGCCTTGAAAATCCTGGACTGTCACTAAAAATAACAGCCTGTCAGCTTTTAGATCCATCAAAATAACGACTATTGCAAGCCATACATTGCATTGTAGTTACTGTAGGATAGCTGACATCAGCTGCAATGAGAAACTATGCTTTAGTGTTTCTTACTGCTTTTTTCTTTTAAAATAAATGTACACAAGAGTCATACACACCCAATGATATTAAACTCCTAGTGAGAGACAGAAGCCTGACATAGGGCAAGATGTCAGGGTGATTTCTCCTCCAGATTTCTGAGATGTCTTCACGTGTCCCTGTGAAGATGAGGCAGGGAGATCCATAAATAGAAAAATACGTAAAACTACACAGCTCACACTGTTTTTTTTTCTTGCGATTATTTATTCACAGAGTGTACAACATACACATCGTTGCTGCTCCTGCCCAAGGCATACTATGGGAAGAGGGCAGGCAGAGGTGTAGGTTTCTGTCATGACTGACTCCCTACAGTATTACCCCGAGACTGCAGTGTCACAAGTTAGATTCATCGTAAGCCTTTGATTAAAAACTTCTACTTTAAATATTCAGAGCATCATTTTAGAGGGAGTTTGGGCACTTCTATTTTTAGTGATCTGAGTAGAAATTATGGTAATGTTTTTGTTAAAGCTGCCCCTTGAGTGTGGAATTTGCAGGTAGCAAGTAACTTCCAGTATGCTTTGCTTAGAAACTGGTCCCTTTCTCTAGAGTGCTAAATGCCTGCCGTTTTCGGGTACTGGTTCTTCCACTGTTTGCACTTGTGTGGCTCTTCTGTATTGTAAATCATCTTTTGGCGTTTGGAGGTTTTGTTTAAGTTCAGTCCCATTCGATACGCACTCAAAAGAACTTGATCTATCCAAAATACGGTCCGGTTGTAGCTCACCAGAGCCCCAAGAGGAAAGAAGCAGCGTTTGCAGCAGCATTAGTGTCTGGCAGATTTACCAAGAGCTGCATTGACTCTGATATAGATCAACCAGATTTGCCTAGATCTGGAGCACTGACTGACCATACGTATTAAAAAAACAAAACAAACAAACAAAATACCACACCCTTGAGCTTCATAGTGTATGTTCTCTGAGGACACTGTCTAAAATTGTACGTAACTGGGGGAATCACGGCTGCCTTTACAGAGGCTCCAACCAGCAGCCGCTCCAGCTCAGTGCAGATCAAGAACACCTCTTTCACAGCACCTGAAAAACAGCTAGGCCTGCGACATCAGAGGCTCTTCTGTCCCTAAATGGCACCAAAGAGAGCAGCTGCGTATAAAGTGATTTGTTACAATACTGAACACATTTACCACACTCATTTCTATCAATTTATTTTGTATATATAGACAGCTTTTTATATGCATTTTTCTTGATTACATAACTGTCATGAAATGTAACGAAGCTGCAAGTTGTAGTTAATTTTAATGCTGATTAAAACTAGTGTTTGGCTGTTTGTTTTCTGCAGCAATTACTTGAATTTTGTTTCGATTAGGTAGTGAAGTCCGGTAATGTTTACAGTATTGCTTTCTTTGGGTTTGGGGGTTGCCTCATCTTTCTTCCCGTCCCCTGCCCCAAGAAACAGAGGGGACATGCTTGGCAGTCAAGCAAATGTGCTGGGGATGACGCAGTGGGATCACCAAGGCATTACTAGTGATATGTGGATTCCCCTGCGCTTGCGTTGCTTAGCTGACAATGTACATGCTGAGCACGTTCCTCTCCCATCTCTCCTGCCCCTTAACCTGGCGCTATTGGCTTTACTGCAAGAAACTTAAATCTTTCTGAACAGCAACTTACAGCCAGAAGTCCCTCACAGAAAGCAAAATTGATTCTGCCCCCCCGCCCCCGCCCCCGGATGAATTAAACATCCCTGAGCTCTCTCTGCAGTTACTGTTGTATTTGCCAGCAAGGGTCATCAGCATTTGCACTAATCACAGTGCCCCGCCTGTTCCGCTTCCACATAGTTATTCTTAATTGTGCTGCCTAGACTTGTAACGAGCTGTATTTAAGTTTAAGGTGAAGTGTAAAAGATACATGTAATAATGACACATTTATTGTATTTTTTGTATGTTACAGATCGGTTAGTCCTATGCACAGAGAAAACATGTGGCCATTTATAGTTTAATACTTGAAGTAACTTTTTAAAATGGGCTTTTATAAATGAATTAAATACAAAATCACATTGCTTTGCCTGGAAGTTCCTCATGTTTTAACTGTAGCGTGCAATTTCCCCATACGTATACTTTTCCATATATGTTATCCTAAGCCATTTCTAACTATTTAAAGTGCATTCAAGATTTTGTACATCAGTGTTCAGACTTGTTCATACCTCTCTGAAGTATAGTTCATGTTTAAATAAAAAAATTGTACCGTTTTAGGCCTCTTTTCCAAAGTGATAAAATATGAATGGACTTGACACTTGAATTCATCAGTGAGTGCACCATCAACTCAATAAAAGTACGTGAAAGAATCTGAAAGTCACTTGGCTGTAGCAAGTGTGTGTGTTAGATCAGGGGGAAGAACTGCCCACCTGGGAAACGTTTTGTAACTGATGCACAGTTTTCACACTTCAGCTGCCACAAACCCAAACTCCTGACACACGTGGGCTTGAGAGGGGGATTAAAAACCCTCTGACTTGTGTCTGGCTATATTCCTTCAGGACACTAAACGTGACTCAGAAATCAGACTGCCACTAAAACAAGAACCAGCTGTGTTCCTTGCAGATCAGAAATAATCTCTGTAAGAGGGCAGTAACGCTCAAGTTGACACTGACACTGGCATTTAAATTCACAGTTCCTTACAGAAAGTTTACAAGAACTGCAACATTTTACAGTCTCCCACAAGTTCCAGCCTCATGCACCTACCTTTGTAATTCCAGTTCATCTTGGTCCTCACATGCCTGGTGAGGTGAGCACTCTGCAAGTGCCATCAGCCATGTCCCAAGTGTTGATGTATACGGAAGTATCCCTCAGAAGGGACAGTGACCAGCACCAGCAGATAATCCCTTTCCAAAGAGCAGGCACGTTCTAGCTTTCACAAGGACATCTGTGAAGCTTCGCATCTAGGTCCAATCACCATCCCTGCACATGGGAATGTGCTGGTGCGTGCACAACCCGTGAAGAACACAGGGCAGGCAGATGGGAGAGCCACAGAAAGAACTGTCTTTTCCTAAGGAGACAATAACCACAGAACATACGCTGTTCCACAGGACTACTTTTAATGTGAGATTCTGTACACCGTAGCAAAGTCTCGTTTGTCACCGACCCTTACCAAATTACAAAATCACCATAACAGGTACAACAGCAGATCCCATGGTAGTGCAGAACGCATGCCAAATATAAACGCGCCATATTCAAACTGTCCACTTTTTTGTCACATTTAAGTGGTTTAAATGATCGCTGATGTATCTATGCTCAGGAAACTTGGCTTTCATCAGACTTCTCACAGCTTCCCATCTCGCACGTCTCTCTTCTGTGTTATGTTTATACTCCTGTTCCCGCGTCAGGTAAGGCCGACTCAGCCAATATTCATTCTCTGCTTCAATCTCCAACCTTCGGATCATTGCTTGCTTCATCAGAATGGTAACTGCTCTTGGTCGCCTGTACTTTCCAACCCACTGTCTTCCAGGAATTCTCTTTCGGAGTAATACTGTTGTTAAAAACATTATGCCTCAAAATATAAACAAAAATACAAAATACTCATTACCTGAGGGACAAAAATTAGAAACTGCACACACTTAACTCCTCTGCCTTTTAGCTGGCTGGTTTGTACTTTATGTCAGAACCTGATACAACCATTACACAGACAGTACAATGACAGACATATTGGAAACTTAAAACCAGAAAAGGATAACAGAAATCTTTATTTACCTAAAGAGTTTACTCAGTTATCCTTACATTGAGATTAAAGCATGTCCTCCATAAATTAGTTATGAAAAATCCAGTCCCAAATACTATTAAACAAAGGATTCACTTCATTCATTCCTTCTTCAAACACCTAACTGCATTGTCAAAATGGAGAATTTCCAGGTCTGTCTTCTAGATTTAGATCTGGCCTTTCCTCAGCATTAAGTTTTCAACCACAGTCACCCCATAAACTTATTAGTATACAATTACCTAGTCTTGTATTTTAACTATGGGAAACCTGGTTTCTAGAAAAAAATGCTGCATTAGACCAACAGCGTATCCAGAAAGCACAAATGCAGTTTCCAACACAATACACAAGTGTAACAAAGAGCCAAGAAAGGCCAAGCTACGTTTAGATCTGACACGCAGGTTATTAACCTGTTTAGTAGTCCTAAACATGCTAACCCCTACGTCTCTCATTATATGGTTTTTTCATCAACTAGTAACCCAGCCAAGCACTTATAAGACGCCATAACCCAGCCCCACGGCTGAGAAAAGCCACCCCACCCCACACCCCACTCCCCGCTGCTCGCCCTCAGGCCTGTGCCTGCTCCTCACGGATCGAGGCCGACGCGCGACGCGACACGGCTGCCCGCCGGGGCTCTCTGGGGCTGCAGGAGAAAGCCGCTGGGTCCCCGCCGGCTCTCGATGGGGTTCGGCCCACCCAGCGGAGCGCTGCTGCCTGGGCAGAAGGATCACCTGCCCGTTCCCCACCGAGGTTATCTCCCGGTTCAGGGCCAGGCCGGGCCGGGCCAGGCTAGCCCGAGCGAGCCCGGAGCCAATCTGTGCTCAGCGAGAAGCAGCACTGCAAGAGGCCAAAGCAGCGCTCCCATCCCCATAATTAAAAAGCCGGGCCCAGCCCCTCTGCCCTCGCTCACCGACTCCGACGACAGCTCCAGCCCCCGCGACGG